ATCGCGTCTTTATGTCGGGGGAAGGAAGGAGAGGGGGAGAGAGGTCGAGACGGGAAAGAAGGGAAGGTGGCAGGTCGCGACGGGGAGGTGAGGGAGAGGTCGCGGTCGAGAGAGCAAGGGGAAAGAGGGAAGTAATAAATATCGTATCTACCAGGGGCTTAATTATGAGTATAAATCCGACGCAACTTAAGAGGGGTAGATAGAAGTTTCTTCCCGAAACTTCTATCTGGCCGTCCAACCCGCGCCCGCGCAGCAATCCCGACGGCGGTCATCGTTTTGGCCTGCGCGTTCTGGTGCTACTTCCTGATGTTTAGGTTCAGCCTGCACGTTGGGGTGTGCTTCGTGATGTTTGCATGCGCTTCGCAGTGTGGTACTCGCTGCGCTCGGTTCGATGAGAGACAGAGCGAGACAGAGAGAGAGAGAGAGGGAGAGGGAGAGAGAGGGAGATAGAGATTGGCCGGTGCAGACGCCCGGTTCGACTAGAGAGAGAGAGAGAGAGAGAGAGAGAGAGAGAGAGAGAGAGAGAGAGAGAGAGGAGGGGGGGGGGGGACAATTGGAGAGACTACGACAACAGATAACACAAAAGAACATCTTCAACTTATGTCGTAAAGCTTTTTTGGAGACAACACATAACGCAAAAAAAACTTTCTCTTTTTTGGCATCCATGTCGAATGTTGCGTCTCTACATCTCCTACTATCTTGCCCCCCGTCCTCGATTCTCACAATCTTTACTCTTCTTGCCGCGGGCGGAGCGGAGGGTCCACTTATTATTATTATTATTTTTTTTTTTTATCATTATTATTATTATGCAATTAGACTCGCTTTCACTTCCACTTCGCATACATCCAAACAGATGGCGATTCACACTGTCGCACAACGCCCACAACAAGCTCAGAGATATGGCAACCAAGAAAACAGTTTGGATGCAAACGCGCTTCAACAGGCTATGGCGCAACAACGCCTGAATATCCCAACTCCCTTCGTTGTGTCCAACATCATTGTTCGCACATACACAACACTGGATCACCCTGAATACCACCACACACACGCACACTCTGTCCCACACACACATACACACTAACAATTATCGCTAACCTATGGAGGCTATGGCCTCTCACTATTACTACTATGATTACACTATCGTCTTCCAACCCACTTCGACTTCCGGCAACCTGAAGACCACTTCGCATAAGATATTGTAGAAGCACTTCCGCATGGCTTACGCAGTGAATGAATCAATGGCTGGCGCTGCCTCTTGATTTATACTTCTGTAACTCGTTGATCTGCCTCTTTCCATCGACCCATGGTGCACACAGTCCCTCATGGTACTTGCTGGACTGGGCTGGGACCGACGAAACCGGTACTGCTGACTGCATGGTTTTGCAATGCCAACTCGATGCAGTCGCGCTGCCAACGTAACGCAGTTGGGATCACCACTTGCCCACTTGCCTCTGACTAAACGTGAGACAACTTCAAAAGGCCACTTTCGGAACCTTCCGGAAGTCCGTGGACTTGGCCTTTCGGGTACTGTAGCAGCCACGACCTTGACCTTTCAGAACATCTATAGCTACGACCTCTACAAAGTTGTGACCCCTATTCGATAGGCCAACAGATCAAACCCCTACATCTACACAGAGAAGAGATTACACAATAATGGAAATATTAAATGAAGAAGACAACGTGAGCTTTACTGTCATGGCGTCGTCATCCCTTCATCGCCATTCTCGGCTTCAACACCTAGCCGAGAAAGACTCAATCCTTCCACTCACTCGCCACTCAGATTGAGGCAAAATGTCCTACTTACTACACTAAATTATACTCTTCCATTCTTCCTAGAAATGGTTCCACTCGTACCGGGACCAAGCTAAGTTTCACAAAATACGTTGCACTCCGAGGTACCATACTCCAAAAGGAACGCGGCCCCTTGTTCACGAAAAACGTCCAGGCGCTATCCGTCAGGATATCTTTAGACTGGATTCTGTATTCAGCTACTGTACTGCTGCCATACCATCCGAGAAAACGCGTGTCCGATTCTACGAAAGAGTCGTATTTGCCTAGCCTGAGAAAACATTATTTATAGAGAAGCATACCATAGCGTGTTGCTGTCTTGGGATAAAACAAACAAGGCAAGATCCTACCCCGATCTTGGGTATACTCTGCTTCATGCGGGCGCCAGAGGAACACTGAAGGCGCCAAAAATTCTAAGAACCAGTTACTTCCCAGAGCTGCAGTGGTGAAAACCGAACAGTCCACGGCCTAGCTTATGGAGAATACAGTATTTTAATTACGCACTCGAGCTTACCCCAAAGTGATCTGGGGTCCCGCCGTTGCATCCACTGTAAACCTGCGATTGCGATATCCGCAGGGTAGGCCTGCTTCCGGAGTTCCTCGACCAGAGATAGGACCGCGCAGCAGATCAGACCTTCATTATTGCAGTTATGAGAGATCCCCAGGATGGTATTAGCCACTTTGGCATATTTGGCAATTCTTGGGTCAAAGGAAGACACATCTTTAAGGGTACGTAATCGCAAACCTTTGGAGGACCAGATAATCCCGGCGTTTTTTTATTTGTGAGCAGCGAGGACTACAATGTCACCATTAGTCACCATAATCCTGGTTTCCAAGAAATCGAGAATGCCAGCCCCAGGGTTTATCCGTTCCAAGATTAGCTCAGAAGGGTAGCATGTTGAGATCCGGTCTAATCTTTCCTCAGCATTTTTCTCCCCTTCTGGGTCAGTGCTCAGGAAAAAAGAAAAGAGAAGGAGATCATCGATATACCGCTTCCCTGATAGGAGCCTGGCATCGGTCTCAAGGGACCGAATGAACCTGGACTCCGCAAACATACACATGATACACGCCAACGGCGGGCTTGCTCAGCCTCCCATAGGGAGACCCTTCTTCTGCCTTAAGATACCATCGGAAACAAGAAAAACAGTATTTTTTAATTGAAAGTTAGTTAGCGAAATCAGTTTGCTGAGCCTGAGGGACTTCCACCCCGCTTCCCCGTGCGATTTCCCGAAAGTTACTAACTTCTTCCGACTATTGAATCTGAACCATTTTATCCCCCGTTCTGCAAACATGCTCACCACCCATTCAACAACTAGGCGAATCTCATGGTGTGGTAATTGCGTGAACATTTCTTTGATATCATATGTACGGGCCACAATCTTGAGATCCTCTGTCTTTTCACATCTTAGGTTCACTTTTCTGATTTCATCCCCCAGGTTATTCAGGCATCTCAGGTTGAAGTGCGGGACACGAATTCTCCTTATTAGTTCATTCAGGCCTAAGGACAACACACCAGAAGCAGACCGAAAAGGACTGAGATAGGAGGGTACAATAGGTCTCCTTTTATCTTTATCTTTTTCTTTTGGCATAATATACGCATGCTGCAGCATTCCATGTGCATCCCAATTGGCTGCTTCTGTGAGCTTCTCAGCTTTATATGAATCACGCATTTCCATCAGAACGACACTTTTTTCCTTCAATACCACTTCATAATTCGCGTTCTCTAAGAACATTTTCTTTAGCCCTTCTTCGTACCTCTTTCGGCATTCAATCCAAGTTTCATCGGGGTTTCGATCAAGGGGAGAAAGGACCAAGCCAGAAAAGACTTGCTTGACCCCCATGACATACTCATTAAGAACACAACCAGTAGGTTTGGGGAGGCCGTTCCTGCGTACCACCAGCGGGTTAATACGAAATTGTGTCTGGATCACCCCCATTTGTTGCAGACAGATCAAAGCATCATTACAGGCATTGTTTAGACCATCGTTAGTGACAATAGTGCCTGGAAAAGGCACATTCTTTGAGTTAAACAAAAAGGGATTTATGCCATCCACCTCACTGAGCTTGACTGCGATATGTCCGTTCCTAGGGGGCAAGTCGAGGTCAGCACAGACGCAGTCGAAACTGCTACGCTGTGGAAAGGCCTACATTTGACAAACAAACAGACAGAAAACGACAGAAAACAAACAGACAGACAGACAGACAAACATGTTACACAGACATACATTTGACAAACAAACAAACAAACAGACAGAAAACGACAGACAGACAGACAGACAAACAGACAGACAGACAAACAGACAAGCAGATAAAGACACACAGACACAGAAACACACATACAGGCAATGTGACACACACAGACTGTGATCCACACACAGATACTGTGACACACACATATACTGTGACTACGACCTCTACAAAGTTGTGACCCCTATTCGATAGGCCTATAGATCGAACCCCTACATCTACACAGACATACGATTGACAAACAAACAAACAGACAGAAAACGACAGACAGACAGACAAACAGACAAACAGACAAACAGACAGGCAGATAAAGACACAGACACAGAAACACACACACACAGGCAATGTGACCCACACACAGGCAATGTGACACACACGGACTGTGAGCCACACACAGATATTGTGACACACACAGATACTGGGACACACACAGATACTGTGACACACACGCATGCACAGTGAAATACACACATATTGAGCGAAACACACACAGTCACAGTGACACAGTGACGTACACACATTCACAGTGACACAGTGCACAGTGAAACACACAGTGCACAGACACACAGACACTGCTTGCACAGTAAAACACACAGAGCACAGACACACAGACACTGCGTGCACAGTGAAACACAGTGCATAGACACACAAACACTGCGACACTGACACAGACACGCACTGACACTCAGATACACAGACACACGCACAGGCACACATTGACATACAGTCACACTGTGACACGCAAACACAGTGGCACAGTGAGACACACAAAGACAATGAAATAGGCACACCGCCACTGTGACATACACACGGTAACACTCAAATACACAGTCACACAGATGCACGGGGGCACAAACACAAAGTGCACAGTGACATACACAGCGAAACACACGCATACATAGTAGAATAAACACAGGCGAGGTGTCACACACAGATACAGTAGAACAGACATCGACACTGTGACCCATACAGTGAACCACACAGACACACAGCCACACAGTGCACGATGACACAAAATACATAGCGGCGCAGTGACGCACTCAGAGACACAGTGAAACAGGCACACAGCCACTGTGACATACACAGAGACACACTGTGCACTGTGACATACATGGAGAAAGACACATACACAGAAAGTGAGATAGAGAGAGAGATAAAGAGAAAGAGAAGAGAGAGAAAACGTACCTGGTGTACACTCGCGGACTGCGTTGGTAGTGACGTCATGTACATTGGTCTTCACAGTCGAAGTGAGCCTAATGCGAGAATGTAGATGGGACAGGTAGGGTGAGCAGACCAGACTAGGTGTCGGATAGTAGAAGTGACATCGAAGACAGGGATGGAGTGACTTGAGGGTAT